AGCAGGTAGAACTATTACTCTTTTTATTAGTCGATTCATTATATTTTTGCTAGTAGGCTGGCCTTGTCAGAGAGTCAGACCATCTTCTGTGCCTTATTTTAGCATTTCAAAATCCTGAAGAAAGCGTCTTTAATGAGAAGTAACGGTTGCCATGCCAGCATGGTCCAGCATGGTGGTTTTAGTCTGACTATTATTTATTATTATTATTATTATTATTAATAAACTTTACAGCATGGAATAAAAAAGTGTAAATCAGAGGGTAATAAATTATGTGAGCTGAAGGAAACCCAGTAAATACACTGGGCCCCTGAAACAAACAAACAAAAAAGAACTAACTAATAATTAATGATGTGGTGAATGAATAATACACTGGCTGCATGGACATAAAGCATGAAAAGAACATAGATTGTCGGGATCGAAATGGGACATGAATGATTGCCAAAAGTGATTACGGAGCAAAGTCATAGCTTGGGAGTGAGAGATTGACAGTAGGTTAAGAGATGGGAGAGAGTTCCAGAGACGAGGGAGACGAGAGAAGTAAAAATGACGAGAGGGGGTAGTTCTAGAGAAGGCCGTGTGCTTTAAGCTGGAGCTGGATGAACGAGTACAAGTGGAGCTGAATGAAACAAAATTAAGTATGTCAAACGCTTCAGAGGGACAAGACAGAGATTTAAGAAAGAAGGTAATATCGTAAAGTTCAAGTGTCATCATGAGTGGGAGTAAGTGGAGAGATTGTAGTCTAAATTTATAGTCGGAGGTGTAATCGTTCAGTATCCACTTAGTAGCTCGTCTTTAGACAGCTTCCAGCAGCTTAATGTCTTTCAATAGATAAGGCCTCCAGATTTGGCTGCAGTATGTTAACTGAGGTCTCACTAAGGTAATGTACAGCTTTCGACGGATGGGTGTTGATGCGGACTTAAATGAGCGACGGAGTAGACCCAACATCTTGTAAGCTTTGGCTACAATGGTACTAGGTGGCTTTTTTTAACTTTATGCAAAATGCATAAATGCATAAGATAATAAGTAGATCTAGGTCTGGGCGTGACGTGCGTCGTCCAAAGTTTAAAAATAATGGCAACTCCCTTCTCTAGAAGACAGCTGCATGCACTGGGTTAGAGTCATTAACTCATTATTGAGTCTCCTATGCTTAGTTAATATGTTTTTATATAGATATCGATGATCTTGCTGAGATACTTCATTTACTAAAGAGGCACGGGTATTCTGGGACTAGCTATTATGATCTTGGTCTGTATTTGGGCCTGTTGCCTCGTACACTTGATGTTATTGAGAAAAATAACAAGGAAGACGTTAATAGCTGTCTAAGAGAGTGTTTGAAAGCATGGCTGCAACAAACTAATGATGTACACATAATGGGTGTTGATCCAACTTATCATTCCTTGATACAAGCATTGAGGAAGCTGGGAGAGAATGCTGTAGCTAATGGGATTGATAGAGAAAGTAAGGACTTACATGTAGTTTGTTAATATTATCTTAATATAGAGCATCCTGCTTGTGTTATCTTTACACAATATGAATCAAATGAATGTATTGTGGCTGCCCTTCCTTCTCTTGCTATACTTCTTTCTAAGGAGAAGATTATAGATGAAATGTTAGTGCCTAGTACTGGAAAAGTACTCCTTAAAGCAGTGAAAGAAGCTGTTTGTGCTGATTATCATAATCTGGAGAAGTTTGTCACTATTCTTATGAATTCAAATGCTCACTTAGTCACGGCAATAGCGGTTTCCATGCTAAAGGATTACAGTGAGTTTAATAATAATACACGACAATGTTAAAGGCCTTTCTACACTAGAACTTCTAATGCACATTGAACCAGTTTGAAACCAGTTCCTGATGTGAATTGGCTCCAATGCGCATTAAGCC